AACAAAGTAGGATTTATACCTCCCTAAGACAAGATACTTGTATCTACGTTGGCCATTCTTTTTGATGAAACAAAGCAGGACCAACTCTTTCAATTTGTCTTTTAGTTTGTAACATAGTCATATTATGATAAAGTTAAGTGTCGCATTTATACATGTAATAATAACATTACTGCATGGACACATTGTATGCATTGATAATAAAAATGATAGTATTCCATTTAAGTTGCCTACTCATTATTATTTTACTCAAAGGTTTGACTGGGGATTAAAAATATCACCTGGGGTTCATTCATTCGGCAGTAAAACCTGGCATCTGTTCTAGATCTGTTGTGCGGGATGTGTAAACTCGAAGCCATGTGCGATCAGAATGAGGGGTACATAAAAGGCGGAAGTTGTTGATGGGTATTCACAACTCATGTAACAACATATATAAGTCGAAGAGAAACTGACAACGTCATAATAAAAAACGAAAGATCGACGAAAAAATAAACGAAGTCAACAAAACAAAACACACACACACAAAAAAACCCAAAGATTGAGCAACACAAACCCGGAAAAACTGGGGGGTCTCACGTACTTCGGATGGGTAAGCAGATCCTTCTTCACTAGTGGCACCCGTCATCTTGCTCATGTTACTGAAGAACTCACTCGGCAAGAGTTTCATTCGGTTATGTAACAATCGAGTAAAAGAGGACAGGATTGTGGTAACGTCAACTGGAACATATCTGTGATCGCCTGTGACACAGATATCCCATAACGGTTATCTGCAATTCATGATGGCGTCCATAAAACTTCCGAAGGGATATACCACTTCGAACCCTCGTTTAGCAAAACTTTTGGAGTTTGGCTCAATAGCTTCATTGTTAGCAGCAGCATCATCAAGGAAATCATGGCATGATAAGAAACGCAAGCTCTGGAATATCGCATTAACTGGAAGATATATTCTTCATACGCAGGCGCTGCTGAAATGTTGCTACATAGAAAATTCACAATTGGGAAGCTAAAATCATCCCTTTTGTTGTAAAGGTTTGTTCTCAACCGACCCTCATTGTCAACTTTTAGATGTAAGTTAAGATATGAGGCAGACTTAACAGTATCTGTGGTATTATTTATTTCAAGTTCGATGGGATAGATGCGTTCAACATAGTCACAAAACTTTGAAGTATTTAGTCGAGAGGACATCATCTATATCATAGTGGACTGTGACGTTAAAGGATAACGCTGGGGTCTTTTCATTCTCCCAAGAAGCTCCTGTGAAAAGTCTGCAAAGCATATAGTGCTAAACGAAATAAAAACGAAACAAAGCAAAACGGAACGAAACAAAATTGAACGAAACGAAACGGAATTTACCAAACGAGTTGCAACATCTAAATAAAAAAGTTCAGAAGCCTGCTGTATTATCCAATTTTATAAAATCCCTTATATATACTGCGAGAACCTCCTTCTCTGTTAAGTGTGTTCGTGAAAATTAATGTTATAACAACAAATGCGACCAAGCATTTTACTGTATACCAAAATTTTGGTAGCGTTAATAGTAAAGTAAACTCATCGTAGATACCAGGATTAAAATTGAGTACGCCAGACGCGCGTTTCGTCTACAAAAAACTCAACAGTGACGCTCGAATCAAAAAAGTTAAAAAGGTCAAATAAAGCAGAAGTTGAAGAGCTTTGAGGACCCACAAATTAAGAAAGGTTTTGCAAAATACAGCTTAATAGGTAATCTATTCCTGTGATAGAAAATCCCTAGTATTTCGAAAAATTAAAGATTTATAATCGTATTGCAAAAGTTCCAGACACAATTTTTTATTCTAAAAAATAAAGAATAGAGAAAAATAGCACAAAAGGTAAAGAATAGAGAATAATTGTGTGCTAAAATATAAAGAATAGAAAATAATTGGCAAAATGTATAAAGAAAAATGGCTAAAAAAATAAAAATACAGAATTTAAGGGGTGAACAGGGGCCTATTTTCAACAAGTTCAAGACATTCGACAAGAAGTCTGAAAGATCTTATTTCATGGGAGCAACTCAAACATAAATTATGGTAAATTCTTTTGTACACCTTCCCCTCATACATAAAGGCTCAACTGAGGAGTCTTTAAACAAACATATATATTCTTAAGGGATATAGGTACGATACTGTTATAAGGTCATCAAAGAAGGCATTTCTTGGAATTGATACTGAATCGCTCATAGGGTCTTTGCATCGGAAATAAACACATTTATTCTGAAACCAGTGTTGGCACGCCATGGGTTCTGTTATAATTTATGATGACATGAAACTAAACCCCTAACAGGAGGAGTTGTGGTTGATTTTCATATGATGAAGACAAAATCTTTCGATCTCTTTAATTGAGGTTTGGAGCTTGCATATCAGTAACTGTTAGTGGTTCTTTGTTAATTCATGTTGATCTCATTGTCATATTGCTTAGTTTCTTCTGTTACCTATTCTAAAATGGGACTCGGACTTCTTTTAACATGTTTAAGTTGAGTTTTACTTTACGTTTTGTTGTGCGTTTGTTTATTCCACATTGGGTGGAGGTTAGGGGGTTGAGATATCACACTTGAAACATGTTTACCCCCTAATCCCCCTCGCATTTTGCGCCTATCAGGTTTCTATAGCCTTTGTTACTCTTGTGTGTATTTTTTTTTTTAAATTTTGTTTCATTTGTAACTTTCTGAGTTTAGTGTGGCGTCCATTTCGATGAACTAGTGTACATTATTGTTTATGGGCCAGCTGGAGCTCGCCTCCGCTGCGGGATTGTCTCGCCGCTGCATGCCTGTTGAAGACACATTAGTTGACATGGGCTAATTTCTGCTCTTTGGTCGGGTTGTTGTCTTTTTGAAACATTCCCTGTAACTATCTTTCCAACCGTGACCGAGGCAAGTCATAGAAGAAAGTGCCCAGGTTTATACATATATCAGCTCGAAAACATTTTGTTATTCAAAAAGGTAAACTTGAGACTTTTCTCCAACATTTATCAAATGTGTGACTTTTATCCTTAATTTTTTTGCCGCATCCACGATTGCGGAACCTTGCCATTGGTGACTCGATCTTTTTCCGACTGCGATATTTTTTAGTTTGTAAGACTTTTTCCGTTTATTTGTTCCATATATACATACATAATCCATTTGCACAATCTATTGACAACTTTATAAAGCCAGGTCAGAGGCGGATTTAGGGAGGGGGGGGGGCAGGATGCCCGGGCCCCCCTTTTGTGGAAAAAATTTGGTTGATTATATGGGTCATTTTCAAAAAATGTTGAATTTTCAGTACACCCATGCTAAAAATTTTATTTCTAATGGAAAATGCAGTTGTAAGTGTTTAAATGAAAGTTTGTAGGATTTATGAGTCAGAACATTAATAGTAAACACGATTTAGATCTATTTTGATAAGATTAAAATATATCAAAGTCCGATTTTTGCGTAATCAATGTGCGTACAGTGTCCGAGTAACACATTTCATAATGGACAAATGATTTTTGTCCTATTTTCTGATCGCCTTGATATCTGCAAAAGGGACTTTTATAGAACGTAAATAATAACTCTAACGAAAAATCGTTGCTTCTTTATTATTTTATGTAACATTTTTTCTACAAACTAAATTCAATCAGCGTACATGAAGTTCATGTCCATCCTGTTACCGCTACTTAAATCAGCCGTTAAAATTTTCTCCCTATGAATATTGAACTAGTCAGTGTTGATTTCAGAAGCGCAAAGTAACCTAAACATTTAACACAGTACGTTTCTTGTATAACAGTGTAGAGAAAAGAAATTTGAAGACATTTAGTGAAAAAAAATAGTGGGTACTTTTTTGTCATGTCTATGCTGTTACCAACATATTGATTAATTACACCAATATTATACTTGCAAAAAGTGCAATAACGTGTTGAAAACCAAAAATACGACAGAAAAACATTATCACTTAATCTTCGCAATTTAGCATTTGCAGGTGCAATATACTGCTATCGGTAACAGGATAGACAAAAAGGTAACAGGATAGAACTTAATATAGTGATATATCATTAACGTACGTTCCTGTTACCAATAAAATATAGACAAAAGTAAACCAACGTGCGAGGGATTTACTTGATGTTGGGTTTATTTGAAAGAGAGAACAAATGCTGAACATTATGAATTGCTATCTTAGACTTGCATTACTGGTGGTTATTTTTATAACCTTTGAAAACCAATTTTTAGAGGCATTTTTCAGTACAACATGGAAAATTGGCAAATAATCTATTATTTCCCAGAATGAATATATATAAAAGTTTTTGCTCTTGAAAACCATCTTATTGACCACGAAAAACAAGTTTAAAATTTTATCGAAACCTTTTCTAAATAACCCGAAATTTCTTTTGAACATGGTAACAGGAGAGACAAAATATTGCACCACCTATCAAAAAATGTTTCAATACATGATATTCTTGTATGACATTATCAAGATTGCATCTTTTTATATGTTGTTCTATAAGTACTGTTTGTTTTGATTTGCTTATGACGAGGGTTGTTTGAATAAGTAACTTTAAATCAATATTGCAATTTCAAAATTCGACATTTTTTGAAATTGACCCATATATGGAATCAATGAAGCATGACTGGAGCGGGCCTCCTCTTAGACAGTTAGTGCCACCCCCCCCCCCCCCCCCCCCCCTTTTATGAAAATTTCTGAATCCGCCACTGCAGGTGACATACACTTTCCATTACATAAACTACATTCTCTGTTTGACTATAGAGCAGAAATACCCGGACTCGGGAAGTCACGGACAAAACAGTAATAGAAAAAAATTAAAGTATGAGTCTGGTGAAGAGGAACCTTAGGGATCCTGTACTGGAAATCAACTATAAGTAACTATAAGCAGAAGTCCATTATTATTAATGGACTTCTGCTATAAGTAAGTAAGTATAACTGAACATGTACATAAGTTGTAAAGCATCCTGCTCAGTTAATTTACGGATTTTCTATTATATTCCGGAAATGATTATTTTCTTACGATTTACTCGTCACTTCCTGTTCGAAGAAAAACGTGATTTTTAAGGCACATATTTCGATCAAGTTAGTTTCTTGCTAAGTGAATGTTTTTGATTGTTGATAGTTTAAAATCCTTGCTCAGTAATATATTCCAACCCCATTAGAGCTATACAAAACTTACCCCAACCCTTACACGTACCCTAGTCATAAAACAACGTTATTCGAAGCACACCTTGAAAGTTAAACAGGTTGGGCTCAAGTCAGGAAAAGTGGGGTATTCCCTGTTTTCAGGGTACACCCCAGTTTTCTGGTGTTTAAAAACCCCAGTATACTGGGACTTCTTTTTTCCTATTCAATTTATGGTATGAAATCTACAAAAGCGCACATTCTACATGTGATAACAATGCTTCATGATAGCAAGTGTTTTTATTAGTTCAAAAATCAAGCTTATTTCAAGTCTAATTTGATGCTCAACTCACAACAAAACAATTCCTTTGTTCACCAATTCATACCTTGATCATCAATTATGAGATGACAACAAGATAAGTTAATCACTTGGGCATTTAAATTCAATGAATAGAAATTTTCAATAGAAGTGAATATAATGGTTTCATGTCGATCCGGCCCCACGTCGATCCGGCCCAAGTCGATCCGTCCCACGTCGATCCGGCCCAACGTCGATCCGGCCCATATTTAAAGTCGATCCGGCCCCAATAAAAAAAATATATTTATAAGGAATAAAAATAAAGATATATATTAATTGTGATTCATAAATGATTATGAATTTTATTATAATGTAAAAGGTGTACGGTAAAAAAAATGGCCTTTGACAAATATTTTCTTTAGATGAATATAAAACAAGTAAGTTGATTATGTTTTTCATTATAAGTTTTCAAGATTATTGGGTATAAATATAATAAAAACGTATATAACAGAATTTAGTACAATCAACAGACATCAACATTAATCAGCAGTAATTAGCATTTTCTTTCAATTGACTGTGATCTTAACAAGTCTTTCATCCTGTGTAATAACAAAATTAATAGTTACATACACAACGGTACAAGCCGATCCCCAAGCTGATACATACAAACTTTGTTTTTGTTTTAAGTTCTTAAAACTTCTCAAATTGAGAAATGTAGCTATTCTGTGTGTGAATTAAATAAAATAAAAATCGCCATGACATTCAAAGTTATCATGGAAAATAACTTCATATTAATATGTTGAAGCTGCTATACAAACAGACACAATCACACTCAGTTTCGTATCGATTTAAAATAATTCTTTGACTGGTTCACCAATACTTCACTTACCTGTTGTCATCCATCATCGATACTTTTTGCAAAATCCATTTATACTGTTAAAAATCCTCCAAAGTCAATATAGTTTATTCATATTTTATTATGGGGCCGGATCGACTTTGGGCCGGATCGACGTGGGCCGGATCGACTTGGGACGGATCGACTTTGGGCCGGATCGACTTGGGGCCGGATCGGTTTGGGGACGGAACGACCGGATACCAATATAATTCAGTTATGGTCAGTTACACCTGGAGCATGCAACTTGGTCAATTGACTCCTAAACAAAAGATTTGTATGTTTTTGAGTTTTAGAAAAAAACATGGCTTCACTTATTCATGTTTTGTTGTTCCTGAAATACTTTAAGTATTTACAAATACTACTGACGCAGTTAAAATGTGCGCTTTTGTAGATTTCATGCTTTAAATTGAAATAGAAAAAGGAAGTCCCTGTAAACTGGGGTTTTTTAACACCAGAAAACTGGGGTGTTCCCTGAAAACAGGGAATACCCCACATTTCCTGACTTGTCCCCAACCTGTTAAAAGCTGCAAGGGTGCAGTGGAAAATTCCGTGTACACTCCCTATAAGGATTAATGAAGGTTTCTATAGCCTTAAAAAAAATTAAGAACACTTAATTGAACAACTCTTGAGAAAAGGCGAATAAGAACAGGCATCATCTTTTACAAAATCATACACCATCTTGTACAAGTTGTAGTCGTATACCCGCCAGATCTAATTACACAATTGGATACAAGAACACACATTTATTCTTTTAGACCTATACACACCATTAAAGATTCATACAAATACTCATTTTACTCAAGAACAATATTACAATGGAACCTTCTACCTGTCATGCCTGTACATGTAGCTGCAGTAAAATGTACTACTCTTGGCTGATTCAGAGAACAGATTCCAATATCTGTTCTCAACAAACATCTAAACATTTAAATAAGTTCTACACCAGTCAGAGATATAACTCTATAGGGTTATTACAGAAAATAACTTGTGTGTGTTATTACAGATACTTTCATGAGTTGTCTACTCTTTATTCCTTAAATTTTCCAAATCTGCAATATCATATGTTTGTTATTTGTAAAATAAATCAAAAATATTTTAATTTATAATGGGCTCTAGGGAACTCTTGAGACTTTGCGCAGAAACTAAATGCATAGTCTTGATAATTAATTCTTTAATTATATTAATACATTTTTGATTAACCATGGTAAATTAATGAGACAAGGCTTTTAAGGGATAAAATTAGCTGTAATAACATAGCTTAGTTATTAAAGGAATGTAACCTATTATATGAGACACTTGGGAATTACTGGGAAGCTTGCGCAGAACCTCATTACATGCTCTGGTCATTATTTCTTACAATAAATTAAAATACATTATAATTAAGCATGATGTATGTCTGAGAAAATGCTTTGGAGTTATATAGAGAAGCTGTGATAACACCCTTTAGTTATTACAGGCATATTTTTTCTGTAATAACATATAAGTGTACTATGCAAAATTGGCAAACTATGAACTGTTATATCTTTCTATAGTTAAGTGTACATAAAGACAATAGTAATATCAATAGAACTTGTATGCATTTTAACTAAACTAGTGATGTATATTGTCCCTTTGAAACATGTAACATACATATGTTATCACAGTTCTTTAATTTTTAAGTCCACAATAACAAATGTATGTTATTTTTCTGTAATAACCCTATAGAGTTATATCCCTGACTGTACACTGTATAAAGTTTTTAACCAAAATGTATAGTACACATGGTACAGAAACAGATGAAAGCGGAATTGTAAACGTTGGAATTTTTTATTTTATTTTGTATATATAATTCACTGTAAATAGAAATTAGATCCCACGCACATGCGGCATTGTGTAAGCATCAATCAAATTTTCAGATTTTTAGCAATTTTTACAAAAGATTTTAAATTTATTTAAAAATTTTAAATAGAAATAGTACTGTTTGACAAAAAAAACATCAGCAGCTCATGTTGCAAGCGCCTCTATGGGTCACCTGACAGCGAGTTAGCAGCAGTAAAAGAAATTTAAAATTTAAAAATAAGCGCTAGATAAAAAAGCAATTCATTTAGGCTCAAATTTGAGTTAATAAATAAATATGGAAAGCAGTTTAATAATAAACTAATTAAACAAAATTAGTTGTAGAGCTGACAGTATAACAGCGAAGACTTCTACATCAAATGCATGCAGGACATCAACATTTCGAATCATTCCAAAACTGAATCAAGTGCTTAAATTGAGAACAACTGTTTTCCGTCCTTAAATGGTCTGGAAGACTGTTCCAAAGTGTAGCTGCAGCATATTTAAACGATTTTTTACCATAAGTAGATGTTTTTACCTGGGGAACATCTAATATTTTCTGATATTACTATATCTAAAAGAGTATTTTGTAGATTGAACTTGTAGATGATTGTTCAAACATGAAGGAGCATTAATATTTAAAATCTTGAAAGTTTCTAGAGCCATTGTCCTGATTCTGAGCACCAGAAGAGTTGACACCTTAGCCTTATCCACAATTTAAACTGAGATCCACCGGACTACTTGGTGAAACAGACAAACCTAGACATGCTAGAGATATGTGCAGATTGATCTCAAGGTCAAAACCAAAGGTCACCTTGACCAACTAAGGCCCCCAGGTGTCCTAACCACTGAGCTATGCAGTCACACTAGGGTAGAACTACATGTAACAAAAAAGACTAAGTATATGGATTCCTCAAGTAAAAGAAGTCCAGATATTCATTATAACAGCCCATTTATATTTCCAGTATATCAAGCATACATGGTCCTGATACAAGTTCTGTTACTAACTGACATCAACATGATCAAATCAAAACTTCTACTGAAACAAAAGCCCAATTATTGATCATTATTGGAAGGCACAGTATCATCAATTACAAATAAACTTGATAATTGTACATAAATGTACATAGCAATTTTTTTTAAATATATGCTAAATTGGTGATTATTTGTCTTGTGTTGTGTATAGGTACTTGGGAATTCTTGTTTTTTGGGCTCTACATAACACTTAGGAACTTTTTCATCAATTCGTTATATATCAAATCAATTTATTGGTCAAAATATATGATACCTGTTTATAATATGACACAAATGTATGATGAAAAAAGAAAAATTATCCACTTTTTTATCCCCCTTTTTTATAAAAAGGGTTTGCTATGAACAGGACATACAAATATAATCTTGCTGATGAAAGGACTATTTCGGTCATCAACAATTTTTTTTAATTTCCTAAAACTTGTTGGCTGACTGACTTCATAGCTATAAAAATAGGTATAAGGGAGACAACTTGTGATTTACAAGTCCCACTTGTGACTGTAATGAAAAATCAAGATTTTCAAAACCACCAAGGACTAATACTGTCAGTGATAAAATGAAATATTATATAAAATACAACATGGACTTAAAAAATCCTTGGATTAAACATTCAAAACAATGTTATTTTACATATATATAGTCATGTACAAAATATACATGAAGATGGAATTTTTTATGCCCTCCACCATTAAGTTTTACCCTTGTCCGTACGTACATAAGTCCGTACATCCCAAAGTTTGTTTCAGTTCTCTAACTTTAGTTTGCCTCAACCAAATGTTATATAACTAATAGGAAATGCTTATTAACACAAAACACTCATCAAGTTTGAGTTTTGGTGGCGTCACTTTAACCGTTCTAGAGTTATGCCCCTTTACAAATGGAAAAATTGCTGAATTTTTCGTTTCCGTTCTCTAACTTAAGTTTGCCTCAACCAAATGTTATGAAATTTATACACAATGCTTATTACCACAAAACACAGATCAAGTTTGAATTTTGGTGGCGTCACTTTAACAGTTCTAGAGTTATGCCCCTTTACACATGGAAAAATTGCTGAATTTTTCGTTTCCGTTCTCTAACTTTAGTTTGCCTCAACCAAATGTTATGAAACTTATACACAATGCTTATTACCACAAAACACAGATCAAGTTTGAATTTTAGTGGTGTCACTTTAACCGTTCTAGAGTTGTTACCCTTTACTAATGGAAAAATTGCTGAATTTTATGTTTCCGTTCTCTTTTTTTAGTTTGCCCCAACCAAATGTTATGAAACTTATACACAATGCTTATTACCACAAAATACAGACCAAGTTTAAATTTTGGTGGGATCACTTTAACTGTTCTAGAGTTATGCCGCTTTACAAATGGAAAAATTGCTGAAGTTTCATTTCAGTTCTCTAACTTAAGTTAGCCTAAACCAATTGTTATGAAACTTATACACAATGCATATTATCACAAAATCGAAATACAGATCAAGTTTGAATTTTGGTGGTGTCACTTTTACTGTTCTAGAGTTATGCCCCTTTACAAATGGAAAAATTGCTGAATTTTTTGTTTCCATTTTCTTACTTAAGTTTGCCTCAACCAAATGTTATGAAACTAACATTGTACACACAATACTTATTACCACAAAACTCAGATCCAATATAAATTTGAGTAGCATCACTTTAACCGTTCTTCAGTTATGTCCCTTTATAACTTTATATAATATGCAAGCGGGGGCATCATCTGTCATGTCTGTGTCCCATGGACACATTCCCCAGTTATTTTACTATGCTTTACACAGTAAAGTCGGTATGAATTTTTAAAATAGATTAAAACTCATATTGATTTCAATGAGAACCCAATCAGAATATAATGGAAAAGACACCTGTTAGTTCTGTAGAAACATTTATTTGTTTATTTCTATAACATGTATAACTGTGAACATAGTACATGTAATTAATATTATAAAATCTTATAGAAACATTTGTAATCACATAAAAGTACATTTGCAAATGCAAAAAAAGTATTCTGTATTTTGTAAATCAAAATGGAACTAACATGACGAAAGAAGGTAACTTTTGTCTGATAATTAAGGTCATATATGGTGTTGTGACTTCAGCTTATGATATTTCTTTCAGATATGACAGAACACAGTAAAGAAGACCTGGAGAAAGAGTTCTCTCCCTTTCTGAATCCAGCAGCTAGAGGGGATGTCAAAAATATTGCAATAGACTATGTTTTGGGAATGACTGGAAAGGAAGACGGAAAACAAATGATTGCAAGCAGTCAGAATTTTTTGGATGGAGTTATCTCCCTTTGTGAAGATTCAGACGATGTTGTTCATAGTAAAGCATATAAAGCTTTGACCAATATTGCAACAGAATCCAAGTTAAGTTTACAGATTGTTAAAAACAACAAGTTTTCAGAATTTATTGTGAACTGTTTCAAAAAAATCTTAGACCCAAGTTTCAGTCAGGCTGATAGTGTGTGCAAATTTGTTTCAAACTTGTCAAGGCCAGAAGAGTGTGCAGGCTGTATAGCCACGAACATTCTACAAAGCCAGGATGTCAGCTTATCAAAGATTGTAAATGCTATGTGCAATGTGAAGTATAATCTTAAGTCAAATTTACATTTCCTAGCACCATTGCTGGCTAATTTGTCACAGGTGCCACAAGTTAGAAAAGAACTTATGACAGAACGAGAATATGTCATTCAGCGATGTTTACCATTCTTAACCTACCAGGAATCGGCGATCAGAAGAGGAGGAATAGCAAGTCTTATTAAAAATTGCTTATTTGATACAGGTAGGTAGATATGGTTAGCTCGACACAATGATTTACAGAAAAGTGGGGAGATTGCAGATTTGTACCAAATTATGATAAAAAAGTGCCAATAAAAACTTTAGGGTCAGCATACATGTACAAATAGGGTTGGTAGGGAAATACCTCTACCTCAACAATAATTCTATTTAAAATTTTGCTGATGGTTAAGCTTTAAAACATTCTAAACAAAAACAAAAACATCATTACATTTTTAATTGTTGTTGATTGTGAGCAAATTGGCAGATGTACATTGTAGTAGAAATTCTACTTCTGTACAATGGAATTATCAGAAATATAAGAAATACATGTAGCATTATTTATGCTAATACTGACCATGTTGACAACAAACATGCCAAATGTTTAAGCTGGAATCCAAATGATGTTACATTTTTGGGTAATTACTGATTTGAGTGGACAGGAGGAAAATATATATCCATCCATGAAACAAACACAATCATGACAATGTGACAAACATGACAGGTTAAATTGGTTGATGCACATATTATAAGAGCCCAATGGAAAATTCACTTACATGACTGATAACAACTAAATGGTATTTAATTTCACACGTTACAGGCTACCATGAATGGTTGCTAGGAGACAAGGTTGATTTACTTCCTCGATTGTTGTTGCCACTGGCTGGTGGAGAGGAGTTTGATGACGATGACATGGAGAGATTGCCGGCAGACCTTCAGTATTTACCTCCAGACAAACAGAGAGAGTCTGATCCAGACATTAGGAAAATCATCGTAGAATGTTTATTTCAGGTTGGTCAATGTCAAAGGTTATCGTGGTTATGTGCGCTATCATTTGAATTTTGTCATTTGCCATGTTTTTATACGACCGCAAAAATTAAAAATTTTTTGGTCGTATATTGGTATGACGTTGGCGTCGTCGTCGTCGTCGTCGTCGTTGTCGTCGTCGTCTGGCGTCGTCCGAAGACACATTGGTTTTCGCACTCTAACTTTAGTTTAAGTGAAGGGATCTCCATGAAATTTCACCTTAAGGTTCAATACCACGAAAGGAAGGTTGGGATTGATTTTGGGGGTTATGGTACCAACAGTTAAGGAATTAGGGGCCAAAAAGGGGCCAAAAATAAGCATTTTTGTAACTTTCAGACAATAACTTGTGTGTAAGTGTATGGATCTCTCTGACATTGTACCACAAGGTTCCATATCACAAAGGGAAGGCTGTAATTGATTTTGGGGGTAATTGCCTCAAAATTTTAGGAATTAGGGGCCAAAAAAGGGGCAAAAAACAAGCATTTTTCTAGTTTCATGACAATAACTTGTGTGTAAGTGTTTGGATATTTCTGAAATTGTACTACAAGGTTCCATATCACAAAGGGAAAGCTGGGTTTGAGTTTGGGGGTAATTGCCCGAAACGTTTAGGAATTGGGGGCCAAAAAGGGGCCAAAAATAAGCATTTTTCTAGTTTCCAGACAATAACTTGTGTTCAAGTGTATGGATCTCTCTGAAATTGTACTGCAAGGTACCATACCACAAAGGGAAGGCTGGGATTGAGTTTGGGGGTGATGAATCATAAGGGGGTTCAAAAAATTGGGGGGGGGGGGATTTTTTTTTTTTTTTCTTTTTATTCCTTTTTTTTTTCTTTTAAAATTTTCCATTTTAAGTTGGTTATTTCTGATTTATATTTAAAAGCAAATAATAATGATATGGTAGGAGATACACACCAAACAGGATGTGTAAATTATTATATAATAAGTATTGTGCAATAGCAAGAAATTTTCAATTGCACAGTATTGCACAATAGCAAGAAATCTTCAATTGCACAGTATTGCGCAATAGCAAGAAATCTTCAATTTAACAGTATTGCGCAATAGCAAGAAATATCCAATAGCACAATATTGCGCAATAGCAAGAAATTGTCAATTGTACAGTATTGCGCAATAGCAAGAAATATTCAATTGCACAGTATTGTGCAAAAGAAGATACTTCGTATAAATTGCTTATTTCTTGATCAATTTCAATGGGGTTTTATTCTTGAATTCTTGGGGTTCTTTAATATGCTGAATCTAACCGTGTATTAAGTTTTTGGATTTTGGGACCTGTTTTTAAATCGGTCCACATTGAGGTCCAAAGGGTCCAAAATTTAACTTTGTTTGATTTCATCAAAAATTGAATTATTGGGGTTCTTTGATATGCCGAATCTAACCGTGTATTTAGATTTTTAATTTTGGGTCCCGTTTTTTAAATTGGTCTACATTAAGGTCCAAAGGGTCCAAAATTAAACTTAGTTTGATTTTAACAAAAATTGAATTCTTAGGGTTCTTTGATATGCTGAATCTAAACATGTGTTTAGATTTTTGATTATGGGCCCAGTTTTCAAGTTGGTCCAAGTTGGGGTCCAAAATTAAACTTTGTTTGATTTCAACAAAAATTGAATATATGGGGTTCTTTGATATGCTGAATCTAAACATGTATTTAGATTTTTGATTTTTGGCCCAGTTTTCAAGTTGGTCCAAATTGGGGTCCAAAATTAAACTTTGTTTGATTTCAACAAAAAATGAATATATGGGGTTCTTTGATATGCTGAATCTTACCATGTATTTAGATTTTTTATTTGTGGGCCCGCTATCAAATTGGTTCATATTGAGGTCAAAAGGGTCCACAATTAAACTTTGTTTGATTTCATCAAAAATTGAATTATTGGGGTTCTTTGATGTGCCAAATCTAACCGTGTATTTAGATTTTTAATTTTGGGTCCCGTTTTTTAAATTGGTCTACATTAAGGTCCAAAGGGTCCAAAATTAAACTTAGTTTGATTTTAACAAAAATTGAATTCTTAGGGTTCTTTGATATGCTGAATCTAAACATGTGTTTAGATTTTTGATTATGGGCCCAGTTTTCAAGTTGGTCCAAGTTGGGGTCCAAAATTAAACTTTGTTTGATTTCAACAAAAATTGAATATATGGGGTTCTTTGATATGCTGAATCTAAACATGTATTTAGATTTTTGATTTTTGGCCCAGTTTTCAAGTTGGTCCAAATTGGGGTCCAAAATTAAACTTTGTTTGATTTCAACAAAAAATGAATATATGGGGTTCTTTGATATGCTGAATCTTACCATGTATTTAGATTTTTTATTTGTGGGCCCGCTATCAAATTGGTTCATATTGAGGTCAAAAGGGTCCACAATTAAACTTTGTTTGATTTCATCAAAAATTGAATTATTGGGGTTCTTTGATGTGCCAAATCTAACCGTGTATTTAGATTTTTAATTTTGGGTCCTGTTTTTTAAATTGGTCTACATTAAGGTCCAAAGGGTCCAAAATTAAACTTAGTTTGATTTTAACAAAAATTGAATTTTTGGGGTTCTTTGATATGCTGAATCTAAACATGTGTTTAGATTTTTGATTATGGGACCAGTTTTCAAGTTGGTCCAAGTTGGGGTCCAAAATTAAACTTTGTTTGATTTCAACAAAAATTGAATATATGGGGTTCTTTGATATGCTGAATCTAAACATGTATTTAGATTTTAGATTTTTGGCCCAGTTTTCAAGTTGGTCCAAATTGGGGTCCAAAATTAAATTTGTTTGATTTCAACAAAAATTGAATATATGGGGTTCTTTGATATGCTGAATCTTACCATGTATTTAGATTTTTTATTTGTGGGCCCTCTATCAAATTGGTTCATATTGAGGTCAAAAGGGTCCAAAATTAAACTTTGTTTGATTTCATCAAAAATTGAATTATTGGGGTTCTTTGATATGCCAAATCTAACCGTGTTTTTAGATTTTTAATTTTGGGTCCCGTTTTTTAAATTTGTCTACATTAAGGTCCAAAGGGTCCGAAATTAAACTTAGTTTGATTTTAACAAAAATTGAATTCTTCAGGTACTTTGATATGCTGAATCTAAACATGTGTTTAGATTTTTGATTATGGGACCAGTTTTCAAGTTTGTCCAAGTTGGGGTCCAAAATTAAACTTTGTTTGATTTCAACAAAAATTGAATATATGGGGTTCTTTGATATGCTGAATCTAACCATGTATTTTGATTTTGGACATTGGACCACAATAGGTAAATTAAAAAAATTGAAGTTCTTAGACCACATTCTTTCTGTGTCAGAAACCTATGCTGTGTCAAATATTTAATCACAATCCAAATTCAGAGCTGTATCAAGCTTGAATGTTGTGTCCATACTTGCCCCAACTGTTCAGGGTTCGACCTCTGCGGTCGTATCAAGCTGCGCCCAGCGAAGCATTTTATTAATTGTGAGAGCTGACAATTACTAAGATCTGTACTTCTGCAATGAAACCAACAGGCTTATACAGGACATGGCAAGCACTATGCATACAAAGTGTAAAATATGCTTACAACAGGTTCAAGACAGTCAAGGGTCTAACTTAAATAAGTTATTAGAGAAAAATAACATACATTTGTTATTGAGGGCTAAAAATCAAAAATCTGTAATAACATATGTATGTTACATGTTTCAAAAGGGCATTATACATCCTTTATTTTGTTAAATTGTGTACTAGTTCTATTGATATTATAATTGTCTTTATGTATATTAAACTTTAGAAAGATATAACAGCCCATAGTTTGCCAATCATGCATAACACACCCATGTTATCACAGAAAAAATATGCCTGTAATAACTAAAGGGTGTTATTACAGCTTCTCTACATCTCTTCAAAGCCTTTTCTCCTACATATATCACAATGTATTTTAATTTATTGTAATAAATAATGATAAGAGCATGTAATGACTCTTTGAGGTTCTGCGCAAGCTTCCTAGTCATTCCCAATTGTAATAAGTTAAATGCCTGTAATAACTAAGCCTTGTTATTACAGCTAAGTTATCACTTAAAAGCCTTGTCTCATTGATTTACCATGGTTGATAAAAAATGTATTAATTGAATTGGAAAATTAGTTTTCAAGGTTATGTATTAAGGTACTGCGTAAGTTTCAAGAATTCCCAAGTGCCCACTGAAAATAAAAAAATTTATGGTACATTTAACTGATAACAAACATATGTTACTACAGATTAAGAGAAAGTATCCGTAATAACACATGTATGTTATTTTTCTCTAATAACTTATTCAAGTTACACCCTTGACTGCAAGAGATCTACTTTGATTTGACAATTTTTTTTTCAGGAATTATCGGACTTTGACCATTGTTGGGGAGTATTGTGACAATAACACCTTGTGAACATAACTCCATTCAGTAATTATCGAGAGGTTTTTATTACCGGTATTACGAATAATGCGACTGGGTTAATATTGAAATAATAAGAACTAACATTCTGATAACAGACACATATATGTATATGTATAGATATTTAACTAATCTGCAATCAATTCCATCTTCATGCCTAATATAACAACAGGCTTTGACATTTCCGCTCGTCCGATTGTCCGAGGCATCTAAAATTTGCTGGGGACTACTGTGTTGGCAATTGTGAATAGTCCGATGGACTACTAAAATTTATATGCCTGATTATCATGTTTTGTCTAAAATCTTATTGAAGTCACCATGTGGTCTGTCGCTTCCGTGTGCTTCCGTGTATTTTTGAAATATCAAAAATAAATAGTGGAAAATCGATTTCCCCCACTCGCGTTTTGATTGGACAATGGGTATTTAACTTAACCGCTATAACTTTTGACAAGGGATGACGAGGGACAGGATTAAATATTAATGATCGCAATAATTTCAATATACACTTGAAAAATGTAAAAATTCACAGCCCGAAATTAAGACAGACCAAGATTTTATCAATTATTATGATCTGACGGCAAATTGAAGAAATCTTTTGAAAATTCTCAATGGTCGTTGTTGTTAAATTTTTCACTCTTGATTTCTTTTTAGTCATTCCCACACAAATGTAAACTTCATACATTGTCATAGGAGAGACCTGATGATTATAAGGGCCCCCAGCCAAAAAAACAAAAACAGGTGAGGAAATGCGACAAAACAAACAAGAATATAATAAAAATGTTCGAGTCCGGGAGTTCCAGCCAAATTGGCTAAAAAAATTTTTGACTGGCTCGAGTATCACGTAACTAACAAGATGGGTAAAATTTACTGCAAAATATGCAGAAGGTACGACACCGTCGGCAAATTGTTTTTTGCGACTTGATCCGCCTTGGGACTACAATGAATCCATAAGGACTAGTGATTTATTTTTTTGAATGGTCCTATGGACTATGTACATGATGTATAGCTAGTACCTATTTAAAGATGGTGTCAATCCCTGTAACATGTACTGTGTTACAACTCTAGATTCTACTGACGAGGAAAGGTAACACTAGGCAACCGAAAGCTGAATTATTAGTTCAGTCTAGGTGCCCTGAGTGGTCTAGAGCGCTGGACACAGTGCAGGCGGTTTTGTCTCGATATCCCAATAGCATGAGTTCTAATCCCGTCGAGGGAAAAAAAAAACTTGCTTCCGCAAATTTGCAGATTTAACATTGTTGTGCTGATATTAAGAGTAATTATATATATATATATAAACAAGTCTAAATTGAAAACAACGTTCAAACCTATGATTGCGTTGGATAAAAACCGCAATTTTTATACGTGTGCATGTAAAACAAATTTCTTGGTAGAGGGGTCTAAATACAGCACAAACAACATTTTCCAAAAGACCAAAAAAGTGAAAAGTATATTTTAACAAATCGCATTTGACTAACAGGTCGAACAACTGATGTTCTTAAACCCTGCTGACTGCCATTGACGATTGCCAAATAAATTGTATATATATATATCTGTATGCAGATTATCCTGAAATTGCAATAGTTAATCTCACATTTTTGTCCATTTTTCAAAGATCACAATATGATAATAAATGCACACAATAGTTTCTGAATTTACAGTATCTATTCAAGGTGTCTGTTATACAAGTGTTCATGATGTTTGTAATTTTTAAAATTTAATACAAATAAAAATTAAAGAAGATATAATATATACATGATATTTATAGGTTTCATAACGAGTGAGAATGGGATATAGCTTGATATCAACTGGAGTTATTTAATTTCATTATAATAATAAACGAGCCAGTGGCAAGTTTATTATTACTATTTAAGTTAAATAACAAGAGTGATATCAAGCGATATCCAATTCTCACAAGTTGTTAAACCTATTTCTTTTATGGTCAACACTATCATTGTGTTAAATTAAAAATTTTGTGAATCGTTGATCTAGTCTTTTGCACATTCCAGTATGACGTCATATGTCCTTTTCCGGTGTCAAACTTTAACAGCAGACATTTTAAGACTTTTTGTACGCTTCAGAATGTAATAAAATTGATAAAGAGAAGATTGTCAGGTAAAAAGTGTGAGTGTTTAGTATATTATTGAAGAAATCACATATACATGATATACCGTATAGCAATGTATAGCGGGTTATTTTTCGCAGATGTAAAATTTTCGCGATTTAGGGGCAACAATGTATACAAAATTTTGGTGGTTTTTATTTTGGCAGATTCTTTAATCCCAATTAAATATTTTGGCGGATACTGAAGTGGAGCCAGTTAAAAAGTTGTAAAAATTGACAAACAAGGGTCTATTGTTATGGTTAAATGATTGTTTTTCTTGCATGAATTTATTTATTGATTATTTTTATACAGTGAGTCAATAGAATACCGGTACATAGTTATTTTTCACAGGTGTACAAACTTCTTGTAAATGTTACGGCTGATCAGTTACGAAATTTACCGGACCTTTGATGTACTTATTAGATTATAAAATTATCATGAGTGACTTGCAACTCTTATATAATTTGACACTAATTAATAAGGATAAAAAAACCTGACAGCGTACCTTACACTCTTATATTATTATTTATTTTATCATGTAACCAATAAACTAATTAACACCTGATAGCCAGTGAACAATGGCCTTTGGCATTTATGTTGTTTAAATTAACAAAAACCCTGATTTATCCGTTGAAAGGGAAAAAATAGATAGTTTACAAAACACTTTAACTTCAGTCAAGGGTGTAACTTGAATAAGTTATTAGAGAAAAATAACATACATGTGTTATTATGGATACTTTCTCTAAATCTGTAGTAACATATGTTTGTTATCAGTTAAATGTACCATAAATTTTTTTATTTTCAGTGGGCACTTGCAATTTTGGGAATTCTTGAAACTTGTGCAGTAACTTAATACATAACCTTGAAAACTAATTTTCCAATTCAATTAATACATTTTTGATCAACCATGGTAAATCAATGAGACAAGGCTTTTAAGTGATAACTTAGCTGTAGTAACAAGGCTTAGTTTTTACAGGCATTTAACTTATTACATGAGACACTTGGGAATGACTAGGAAGCTTGCGCAGAACCTCATTACATGCCCTTATCATTATTTATTACAATATATTAAAATACATTGTGATATATGTAGGAGAAAAGGCTTTGAAGAAATGTAGAGAAGCTGTAATAACACCCTTTAGTTATTACAGGCATATTTTTTCTGTAATAACATGGGTGTGTTATGCATGATTGGCAAACTATGGGCTGTTATATCTTTCTAAAGTTTAATAAACATAAAGACAATTATAATTTCAATAGAAATAGTACACAATTTAACAAAATAAAGGATGTAAAATGCCCCTTTGAAACATGTAACATACATGTGTTATCACAGATTTTTGATTTTTTAGCCCTCAATAACAAATGTATGTTATTTTCTCTAATAACTTATTTAAGTTAGACCCTTGACTGAACTTAGAAAGTATCGAACGTATGCATAAATTTTCGCGGAATTTATTTTCGTGATTTCTCCTGGCCTGCCAAAATAAGCGAAAATAAACACCCCGCGAAAATAACCCGCTATACAGTATGTTCGTTGCCATGGACGATATGTACATCATCTTAACCTTTGAAAGTCATCAATGACCTAACGAATAGCCAATGGAAATGCTGTAATACAAAAATATTGTCTTATGATGCTGGATAAGCCAATCAAATAAAGGCATATTTTCGTATCACTTTTTCGTATCACACTCCATGCAGTGTGATACGAGAAATATCTATTCATGCAAGAAATAGATAACAGGCCACAACCATAAGAGAACTAAAGAAAGTTGATCAATGATTTGAATCGAGTTATGAAATGTTTTCTGAAGTACAATGGCTCTGTGCTGTACCTTCTAATAGTAATAAGAAACAGTTTGATTTTATGTGAAGTGTAATATGAAAAACATACATTTTTCTTAGATTGATTCATTTTATTTTTCAGCTTTGTGCAACAAAAAAAGGGAGACAATTTGTCAAAGAAAAGAACACATATGTCATAATGAGAGAATATCATAAATGGGAACCAGAACGTATGAACCATCCTGCAATAATGAACTTAATAGATGTTTTAATAGGAGATGAACCAGCTCCTGAACATGAAAACTTACGGGAAGTTGAAGTTCCTGAAGATTTACAACAGAAATTTGCACAAGATGATGAAGAAGAAATACTTCAAATTAAAAATGAAATAAATTCTCAATAAATTTTTAAATTGTTGTATGTTTTTCAATTGAGAACCTGCTATGCTGCTGCAAGCATAGTTGCCAACTCACATGATATTAGCCTGCAAGAGTTATGCCCCTTTGCACTTGGAAATTTGTTATTCTATTCTTACTACTGGTATGCATTTTGTGGAAGCAATTCCTCCATGTTTCATGATTTTCATGAAACTTTGCATTGTAAGATTTAAACATGATGATGCACATATTATTAATAAATTGGCCATCCTAGTTCCGATGACAAACACTAGAGTCATGGCCCTTTACACTTAAACAAATTTTGATTCTAACCAGTATGTACTTTGTAGAAGCAATTCATCATACATATTTCATCAGATGTTCATGAAACTTTGTATATTGGAAGATCTGTAAAGATATATAAAGTAGCATCCTGGTCAACTGACAAATCCTAGTTATGTCCCTTTTCACTTACACAAATTTTGATACTACTCTGTATGTACTTTGTAGAAGTATTTCCTGATACATGTTTCATCAGACGTTCAGGAAAATTTGTATATTGGAAGATTTTTGTATTAAGATGCACTTATTAATAGGCCATTTTGGTCCATTCCTAGAGTTACACCACTTTACAGTTAAAAAAAACTCAGTATGTTCTTTGTGGTTGCAACTACTTCTACATGCTTCATCAGATGTTCATGAAACTTTATATTGGAAGCTCTTAAGACGTTGACACTTCCATGAGCATGCACCATTGGTTACTTATTTAAATTTTTAGAATTTTGGCTTGTTTTTGTAAAATATTTACAATAAAATAGATATTTAATAAAATTTGGAAGTAGGGTATTTGTCCTTTTCTTCAGCTGGGACTTTTCCAGTCCTAGTCTTCAGCAGTTTTAGTTTTTAAAGATCATGTAAAAGATTACACAAGGGTTGACACAGATGAATGTCTAGCTGGAAAATAAAGACTAATGAACTCTAAAATTGGAAATTGCAGTACATGAACAATGAAGTATTGACACAGAAGAATGTCTAGCTGGAAATTAAAGGCAAATGAACTCTAAAATTGGGAGTCGAAGTACATGAACAATGAAGTTTCAAAATTAGAATATATCATTTGTCATATACTATTCATAATTTCACATACCAAGTATTGTTGGCCTGTGATGTCTAGTTGCTGTAGGACAGACCCAAGAAATGAAAAAATAACCTGATGACTTGATCACTAAAAAATAAGGTGAAGGCAGTATAGACATGAACTGGTAAAAAAACCACATACAAAGTATTGTTGACCTGTCAAACATAGTTTCTGAGGAGGATAAATCTAGAATTCATATATAAACAGGAGTGTATACAATATATCAAACTCTTACTAAATCAATGAATGGAGGCTTAAACGTAGCATACATACATCAACTGTAAAAGCAGGTAAAATTCAAGAGGTTTACATTTATAAGGGAGAAGATCTGAAAGAGGTATTCATTTTTAAGGTTGGAAAAAATAAGAAGAGATCGCCAAATTGACAGCAAAAGGTTTTGTTATAACTTATTTGTGTAACTGTTAATAGAAGGAAGTTAGGGGCTATATATATATATATATAACTCCTAATCAGCAAAAGTGAAAATCATCAATATCAAACTTGACCTGAAGTTCGTCATCAGTAGCAAAATATTATTTTAAGATTTGAAAAGCATTGGTGGAACAGTTCTTAACTTAATGCACAGAACAACTGAAACTGTCATTTTCCAAAAAAAAAAAGGGACCATAACTCCAAACAGCAAAAATGAAATCGTCAATATCGAAACAATTTGTCATCAGAAACAACAAACAAAAATTGAAAAGCCTTTGTTAAACAGTCTCAAGTTATTGCACGTAAACGACATACGGCAACAGTAAAAAAAGATTTATATCGAATTTGACCTCAATTTTCTATATTATGACCACAAGCAAGAATGTATGTTAGTTATACGTCCTTGTCCCAAGTCTGTATATTTTTATAGAAATAAATTCGTGTAATAGAATGAAACCTTTTCATCTTCCAAGTAAAACAGTCTTGGTTTCAAGGTAAATTTTGCTTCGAAATGTAAAGTATCGACAATGTGGCAGAATGGTATCTCACGGGATTTAGGCAAACAAAATAAATGCTTTTGTTTGTTTTAAAGTTTGTCTTAAACTGTATATCTGCTCTGGGACTACATTTTTTGTATTATACTAATGTTAATATATTATGTCCTAGATCTACTATCCAATGCGAAATATTAAACAAAGTGAAAGAAACACTGATCCAATATTATACAATTATTGATGTATGTATTAAGCACATTATATTTTTAGTTTCTTTCTCCTTGAACATCGCTACATTCTTTATATGCCTTTCACAAGTCAGAAACTAGTAGTTCAGCGGTTGTCCTTCGGTAGCTGTCTGCCATATTAGTTTTTTCGTTTATTGCATTTAGCTGATCAGCAGTCGGTTCTTCTTTATATGCCCCCGCGACAAAATGTCGACGGGCATTTTAATTTACCCGTCCGTCCGTATAAAGGTAATTTTTTTTTGGTACTGAAAGTCAGAAGGGTTAGATATTCACAAAAACCAGTAGTTGAACTTTATTTTCTTCTCACTTGCTTTATAATTGAAAACATGGTTTGAACTTCCACAGTTTAATGTTCCTAATGCAATGAACAAGATTTTTTAGTATTGTCAAATATTTAATCAATACCGGGAACTTGGTGACCACTGGAAATAGTAGGTTCAGGAACTATACATGCGTAAGGCAGAACAGGAGGGGGCATCGTTCATAGTTTTTAAATTTAGATTCACATTTCACATTTTTAATGCTGAGTCCTTTTAGTTTACAATATGATATGGTTTTTCAAGACCGTGCGATGACCGATAGTTCTTAAAATCTTCGCCTTTTGGTTACTGGTATATAATATTTCATTGGCAATCATAACACATCTCCTCATTCTAACATATATACACAAAAATCAACTCGAGGAAAACACTGATTACAATATTAAATAAAAGATTAAAAACTGTAAACACAAATATTACAAACAAAACAAAATATTGCCAAATAAAAAATAAAAGTTAGTAAACCTTGGTTCAGGGAATTATAAATCGTAAAAATTCACTACACGTTTATATCAACAATTTTATCAATACCATGTATATTATTTTAATTAAAGGTGTCATACACATGTACAAATGTAAGTGTACTTATTTTTCAACACATTCCAGACTTACGCATGCATTGTAGGGTTATGATATATTTGATAACTTTTATTCGTCAGAAATAAATAAGAAATACATGATAGGATAGTTTTTTTTATTTCATTTCAGAAGATTTCCTGGGTTTTTCATTCTTTACTGTGATGCTCCTCCTTCATGTCCATCATGATCATGTTCCCCTTTATTTTTCTCATTGATCATTTCCATCTTGATTATCTCCACCTTGATCATTTTCACCTTGATTATCTCCACCTTGATCATTTCCGCCTTGATCATCTCCACCTTGATCATCTCCACTTTGATTATCTCCACCTTGATTATCTCCACCTTGATCATTTCCACCTTGATCATCTCCGCCTTGATCATCTCCACCTTGATCATCTCCACCTTGCTTATCTCCACCTTGATTATCTCCACCTTGATCATCTCCACCTTGATCATCTCCACTTTGATTATCTCCCGTTTGATTATCTCCACCTTGATCATTCCCACCTTGATCATCTCCGCCTTGATCATCTCCACCTTGATCATCTCCACCTTGATTATCTCCACCTTGATTATCTCCACCTTGCTTATCTCCAACTTGATCATCTCCACCTCGAATATCTCCACCTTGATCATTTCCACCCTCATCCACATCTTGAACATTTACAGTTTGAACATTTCCATCTTCAGTTCCACCTTGATCATTTCCTCCTTGATTATCTCCACCTTGATTATCTTTACCTTTATCATTTTTGCCTTGATCATTTCCACCTTTATCAATTCCTTAATATAGAAATGATATTATAAATTATGTTATATAGATACAATGGATAAACGTTGATTCTTGAAAAAGAAACCATGAGCCCGGAGGGCGAATGGTTTGTTTTTCATGAATCAACGCTTATCCATTGTATCTATAACTTAAACTATTGTGTTAATGTCTTTTCAAAATTAAAGCCTTTTCTTAATTAGAAGGTATTGTAAGTGAGTTTAAATAACCATGTTATCGTGTCCAACGATGCATTAATAAATCTAAGATCATAATTAATTGGTTAAAAAAATACAAACATAACACAACACGTCTGCCTTTAAAGATCTTTATATCATCAGGCATCTGAATATATTATCGGTTTTTACAAAATAAGACATATTCGAACTTATTTCTAATAAGATTGGGAATTGAAATGGGGAATGTGTCAAAGAGACAACAACCCGACCAGAGAGCATATATAAAGTATATATAATAGGTATGTTACCGACATTTCCAGCAAGAAGCCTAATTCTAGCTAGGCACATCATGATTTTCTCGCATAGGAATTTGCGAATAAACATTTGTTAAATTATGTAGCAAAACAAATGAAATCATACTATATTTATAAAACAAAAATGGACAAATAGAATGTAATCATTTTCGTTTCAAATTTGTGAAATAGTCCATAATAGTCCAAAAATAAACGGTAATAACATACAAAACAAGAAAACAAAAAACAAAAGGAAAACTAAGGAATAGGGACAAAAAAGAGAATACAGGGATTCGATCCTAAACTTGGCCGACAAGTCCCTACCTTTAACTCATTGATCTTAACCATGCTAACATCGCGGCTACCAACTTATACTATATGATTGCCTATTATGTATATATAAAGGTACAAGTCCTGTGTGTCCGTTGTACCGATGTATATCATATGTTCATTTATATATATAAAATAGACATTTAAATTGTAACCGATTGGTAGCCGAGAGGATATGTTGATGTCAGTCACACATAACAGATTTCAAGGACGGGTTCGATTCCCAGTGAAGGCATATAAAATAACAAAAATGGAAGGTAAGTTTTTAAATTAATTCCATTAGTGAACAGAAATCAGTGAATTAGGCAATTCAAACTTAATGAAATTAGACACACAATTGAAACAATTGAATATAGTTTTGTGAGTCCACTTCAGCGACAGATTTAGGAAGCGTTGATTCTAGAAAAAGAATCCACGGTAAATGAATAGGCCGACGTCACGACAATGGTTTAAGTACGCATACAGAAATCATGTATTAGTTATTTACATAACCATATACGAGGATCTGAATAGGGGTCCTACAATTATATATTCTTTCATTTTTTAAACCATTTTTCTCTATTCTTTTTAAAGTTTGCTCCATATTTTCTATTCTTTAAATTTTTGCACCCCGCTATTTGCTATCTTTTTTTTTATCTTTTTTTTTGTGGGGGGGGGGGGGGGGGGCTTTTTTTGTGTGTTCTTTATTTGTTTGGCCCATTTTTCTGTAGAATATATCGTTTCATTTCATGTCTCCAATGGTACATTCAGATTTTGTAATCAAAAAGCCCAGTAACCCCGTATCGCTCCCTCGATTCGTGTATTGTAACTGTTTTCTATACTTTTTGACTGCACTAGAATAATTAAGATACCAACTACAATTACATGTATGATAAACAATAACTATGCCATTGAGATTTATAGAAATTGACAAAAAATACTAGGCGTAAATCAAAATTATGAACGTAATTTAATCAAATTTACAATAAGGATCTTCCCTTAACATTACTCCTCCCAGAGTCTTTGCGCTTTTTGAATATCAAGTTAACTAGCTAGAAAAAGAAGCTGTCCATTTCTTAAACGCAAACTTAATTATGTCCGAAAGCTGCGGATAAAACTTTTGTATTCAGAGGTTTTGGAAAATGTATAGAATAAAATTGCAGGCGCGGTTCCAGCCATTTTTATAAAGGGGTTCCAACCCCAGAACACCATGAAATTTCATGAATAAAAAAAAAAGAGGAAAAAGTGGGGTTCCAACCCCTGGATCCGCAAATAAAATTGTGTTGTATGAAGGTGCTACTACACCATTTAGGCAGCATAACCTCTCCCTCAAATTTTATCTTTTATTTTTATTTTGTGTGATAAATAGTGTTTTACATACTGTCACCTTACTGGCTAGTAACCTTAGACACCAGTGATTCATACCAGTGGCGGTTCCAGGATAGAGTGTAGAGAGCGTACGCCTACCGTTTTGATCGCCAATAAAAATTACCATGTTTCTCACAATTAATTTGAATAAAAAGCATCAAATTGTCCAAACATTTTTTTTGCCTCACTCCGTGCGGCTCTATCATCACTTTTCTACTTTTTCTGAAATTACGCCCCCTTTCAAAAATTCTGGATTATGTCCTCTTCATACTACTATGAATTTTAAAGAGATTTTACTAAGTGATATTTTCTTTTAACAAGGAAATGCGAATAATTCGAAGAAACTATGCATGTTTTGAAAAAATCTTAGTCGTAATTTTTTTTTGTGAAACCGACTCCTGGAACTTAAAAAGAAAAGCCTAATTCATCGAAGTTCGACTTTGCCTAAGGGAGTTGGTACCTTAATTTCTTAATTTATCAAAATTTATTTTCAATAGAAGAACATTGTTATAAATTGTGTCAGTACGGTAGCACTGATCGCTACCAATAATTGAAATATGGACAATAATTTGAAATTATTAGATGCGATTTCTTGAAATCCTGGATTTAAAAAAATCTTTCGCGAAACCTGTCCTGTCACAATTTTTGCAATGATTAAAACATCGCAAAAGTTACTGAATATAATAATAAAGTAATTACTTACTCGGACGTCCAAAGACTTGTTGAGTAAAACAAGAAAATACGACTAATATCAACAAGACTTCAAATACTTTCATGGCGTCACAATAGTTGGATATCGGTAAAGAATGCGTGAAAGCTGCAAACAAGACTAAGTGTATAATTAATTATGAACAGAGAATAGTGTTTCTTTATACATGTACTTCATTTCTGCTGCAACATCTTTACTTGTTTTTCGATGGTTGACTAAGTTTTGAATCACCTTACATTTACAAAGATGTCACTACTTTTTGCAACGCACTAAGGAAAATAAACTGGATTTTTATTATTTATATTGGAGTCACACTAACCTTACATTTACAATGAATGCAACATCTTGGTATTGGGTTCAGACTAACCTTACAATCGGCAATCCTCGAGTTAATCCGCTACTCTTCTAGATGAAGGAACGGAATCGGCCGAGTTTAGCCGAGTGACTAACCTTACATTTACAATAAATGCAACATATTGGTGATCAACAAAACATTTGACATCGATTTTAAAGAATTGAAAAATGTCTAACGTTGAATTGTTGTTATGTAGTAAATGCATTTTATTCTTTGTGTCGATATACATTTATTGTTCAGGTCGTCTAAAAAAGGAATTCAAATGATATGCAATAGCACATTCGCCTGCATAGGGACTGCAAATTGGCGACTGAAAATGGACCACAAATTCCGACACTACAGTACTAGTCTTTGAAATTAAGTTGTTAAAAAATTGTCTTTAAAACTCCATTTTCTTGTGGTTTTTGAAAAGCATCATAATTCTTACTCTCACTTTGGGTAACCTGTCAAACACAAAAAACAACTTCTGCAGCATTATTGCAATATAATCTTGTATAAATGATCGAAAGGTAACCAATATACAAAAAAAACATCATCATGGGATACCACGTATTTCACGAAGTTAAAATGGTTGGATCATACATTTGAGCAAGTGTCTGAAGGGTGTCTAGAAAACAAACTTTGACACACAGAAAAAGTTTGCATGTGTCAAACTAAATATACATGTAATAAATGCCAAGGCCTATATATAAAGTAAACATATGCATTACTGTTCGATCTTAGTTTCAGAACTTACTGCGTTCAAATTAAAGGTTCGGTAATATGCATATGGATCCAAATGAGGTGGGACGTAGGTAGGCTGAACGGACGGCCGTCCGCGATCGAAAAAAAATTTCAGCGGGGAACTTGAAGGCTGACTGATCGGACGGCCGTCTGATGGATCCAAATGAGGTCAACGTATTGTCTTGCAAGTCAAAAATATAGCAGCGATGCTTTGGGACCTTTTTTGACAACATTGAACCAAACTGACTGCTTATAACGATCGAATAATTATTCAATATTTTGTTTATGTAAATATTTGAAGGCAAGAAAAACAAATCAATTATTTTAGCTTATATTGTCAAAATCGTAGCTAATGCCCCTTAATAATTCCAAGAATCGGTACAATCACCTGCGGATTCGATTCGAACTTCAAAACCTATCCTAAATATATCTTGACGATCTTAAAAAAAACAAAAAAACAAAGATATTCACTACAGCATTTGCCAAGGTTTGATTGAAACCATATGTCACAATGAATTTAACATTAATTTAATCGATATATACATGTAGTATCCCACCTGTCGCGAGCAATGCGACAGAAATCACGTGATTGCGGGATTGTTTCCATAGTAGGAGTGGAGGGGTAATATTCTATGCAGGTAAGTTTCTGAATTATATCTTTAAGTTCCAACTTTATATCAAATGTATGATTATTTCCTTAAGGGTTGGTGGCATGTTATACAACTGAACAAATGATTATGGAAAACAAATAAAATTAAATCAAATGAAATATAGAATATTGAGTAAAACCATGTTTATTTTAAAGAAGTACTAACTTCGAGGTCCATTATTTTAGAATTACGATAGTAACGGTTCTTGACATTATTCTTCTGTAGACGTAATTTTCCGAACCCATTTCATAAGGATCTGAATTGTGTTTAAAGAATAGAGAATAATAGCAAAAAATAATGAACACAGAAAAATGAGCAAAGAATTAATAATATAGGGAAGAATGAAAAATATTTTCATTTTGCTTGTATTGCTTTTTAAGACTCGTCTAAAAATGCATAACATTTTTATTCGTTGTTATGAGCAAAGGGAAATAAAAATATTGGGTTATTCATTTAACATTGCAATTATATGAATTATATTTATTATTTTTATTAAAAAACTTTTCAATAACGGAAAGTATGTGATAACATTGATTTCCCTTCATTAATCTCAACAGGTAGTTCTTTTTGTCCCTTTAGGTATCAGTAAAAACCGTATTTGACTCTGTGATGAATTGTTCATACAACGCTGTCTATTTAATCTTGAGTTGACAATTGGATATATTTCATATCATAAAGTGTAAAATTGAGAATGGAAACGGGGAATGCGTCAAAGAGACAACAACTCGACCAAAGAGCAGAAAACAGCCCAAGGCCACCAATGGGTCTTCAACACAGGGAGAAAATCCCACTACCGGAGGCGTGCTTCAGCTGGTCCCTAAACAATAATGTAAACTAGTATATTTTAAAAAAATGAATGAATTTGCTCGGTTTATGCTTTTGTCAACTATCTTGATTTTTTTAACAATGCTTTCCTGGTCGGATAAGTACATTTGGTAGCC